TGAGACCAAGTCTCATGTGTACTTCAGGCTGGCGTTGAACTCACTATGTAGCCTAAACTGGCCTCAAACTTGCAGCGATCCTCCTGCCTCAGCCGAGTACTGAGATTACAGGTGTGCGCCACCACACCCAGCCCAGCCTCTTTTTTAAAGTAACCCTTTACAGGAGCTCTTCGAGGTGTGAGTACAGTTCCTAGGCTCCCAGCAAACAGGAGGTGCTCCAGAGGCAGGTGCTGGTGCCTCCAGGGCAGGTTGGAGAGCGCCCCTCCCCCAGCTCCAGCCTCTGGTCTCCTGGGCAAGCGGGCCCCTGAGTACTCTGCTCGGGGTGGAGCCACATGGCGGCGGGCCTTCAGCCAGGGGCTTCTTGTGCGCCCTGGAATCCCTCAGCACGCAAGGGCCTGGCGACTTGGTCTCCCCTGCTGGCTCGCCTGCCTGAACTGAGCCCCTGGGGTCACTGGCTGCGCTTTGCTGGCCTTTGCAGCCCCGTGGCTCTTGCTTGAGCCCGGGCAGCCCAGGCTTGGGGCCGATGACAGCTGTCCCCTCCCTCGATGTTGGCACCATCACTTCATGGCAGCTGCACCTGTGACGGCCCATGGATACCGAGCCTGCTTAGTGGCAGCCCCGTGCCGGGCATGGGTCACAGGTGAAGCCAGTTTAGCCTGCTGGATGCTCTGTGGATGTTGGGAAGGGCCTTCCTCCTGCAGCGGAGGAAGGATTCACTCTTGTGCACCTCCCCGACAGTAATGTGGGTCCGCTCCTTGACAGCCGCGGCCACGCCCTGGTGACCTAAACCGTGACTTGACCGCTTTGAGCCTGTCTCCTGTCAGATGGGCAGAATACCACTTGAAAGAATGGTGTGGTGAGGAGTAAAGGAGAATGTACGTGGCAAGTTGTTGGCACATGTGCCAGGGCCCAGGACCACGAAGAAGGAAGGACAGGCCACCGGCTAGACAGAGGGCACCAGTCCTGCCCGCCTCGCCCAGCCGTCTGTCGCCTCTCCTTGGTGTCCCCTTGGCTGGCTAGTTATTGCAGATGCCCCCACACTGGAGCGTGGCTTCCGTCTGCCTGTGGAGGGCTTTGTCTGCGACATCCGGTCAGAGCATGCATTCAGGCTGTCTTGGCTTCTCGAGGTGTGCTCCCAGCATACCCAGGGCCACGCTGGGCTGGCATGAGCCAGGCGCTCCCGACCTACACTGTATGCGGTTTGGAGAGGAGAGACCGGGCAGGAAGGGGTGTGTGGTGAGCTCTCCACACCCCTCCTCCTCCTCATCCCAGGGCACTGCCTAGGACAGCTCCTCCGTCTCCCTGGGAGCGGCATCTGGAAGCCTGAATGGCAGCCAGAGTAGGCAGGAGCCCTGCAGGAGCCCTGAGCCGAGTCCCTTTGTGACAGACTTCGTCTTCTCACTGAGTGATCTTGCCTGTCTTAGGTAGTACACAGTACTGGCCCCATTTTGCAGATGAGGAAGTTGGGGAATTCGGGGGGATTTCCTGATTGTGCCGGGGGCCCACTGGGCTGGGCCAGGAAATCACAGGCCACAGCACAAACTCCGGGTTGTCCCTGGGAGGCCCAGAGAGAGCCTCGCGCATGCTGGCTCTGATGACCTTTCTCAGCTCCTGTCCCAGTGCTCCCTGCCCCCTCCTTTCCTTCCTTGGCCTGTGGGCAGCTCTGCCCACCTCGTGGCCAGAAGACTTAGTCCAGTCAACCTCTGGCGTGTCCACCTCCCCGCAGCTGAGCTCTGTGCTGCTGGTGGTCGGTGGCTGAGGGTGAGGCCCTGGCCCTTAGGTTCAGGGCCACTCGAACCTGGCAGGAGAGCTCCCTCAACAGCCAGGGAGGGTGTGAGCCCGGGAACTCAGGAAATGCCATTTCTGGTGTGAGTTCCTTAGCCCTGGCTCCCCAGCGGGAAGGTGGTGATCTTGGCACCACAGGTCTGGCCAGGTGGCAGCTGACAGGGCAAGCAGGTATGAGTAGTGTTAGGCCGCTAGGTGGGCATCTGGAGGCTGAGGACACGGACAGAGCCAGAGCACGACAAAATGACAGGCTGTGCCTTTAGAAGAGAGCGCTTATTGGAGTGACAGTCCGTGGGGGAAAGGCAGCGTTTCGCAGGACTGCTTATTAGTGCTGCTTCTTTTTAGAATCACCTGTGCGGGGAAGGGCACTTCCTCTTTGTCATGGTGGTGCCCAGCCCCTGCCCCTTGTCCTCTCGGCCCCTCTTCAGGCCTGCAGGTGTTTCTCTCTGTGTCTGGGTCTCTGCCCCCCTCCTGGTCTCCTGCGCCCTTTCTGGCCCTCTTGCTGACCCCCAGGGCATTTTCTGGAGTATGGGAGCCCTCCCCACTGCTCAGCCATGCCTTGGTGGCGTCTCAGGTCCTGCTCTCCTCTCCCCACTCTGCACTCAGCGACAGCCCCTGGCAGCCCTGCCTCCGACCCAGGAAGCCTCCTGGGCAAGTGAGGGGCCTCTCGGGTCCGGCAGGACTGGCCAGATGGAGGCCAGGCTGTGAGGCAATAACCATGGCAACCAGCGGGAGGTGGGAAGAGCTGGCATTTTGCTCTGGCACCAGGATGTGAGGGGCAGCAAACAGCTGTGCCAAGGGGACACTGCCCTCCCGAGGCAAAGCACCCCCTTATATCTTCTTTCACGGTTAACAAGATGTTGTCCAAAGGTCTCAGAACACACCCGTGCATGCACACGGTACTTACCATGGGCCAGACACTTAGAGCTTTGCTTTCATTAATCTTTGTAATCCTCTCACCAGCCTTGTAAGGTTGGTGCTGTGAGACATTCAGCGGCAGAGCTGGACTTTGGTCTCCGTCTGCAGCCAGGGCCCAAGGGTGCCTCCGAGGCAGAGCCCTGGCCCCAGGGTGACTGAGAAGGATGTGATCCTGGCTCCAGAGTGGGTGCATCTTTGTGCACAGGAATGAGGCAGGTTACACTAGTAACTTGGTGGGCCCGCACCTGTCATCCCAGCTACTCAGGAGACTGAGGCAGGAGCTTTGCAGGTTCAAGGGCAGCTTGGCCAACTTAGACTCAAAATTTTTAGAAGGGCTAGGGGTGTGGCTTAGTAGTGGAGCATTTGCTTGCCTAGTATGCGTGAGGTCCTGAGTTGAGGGACACAGAAAGAGCAAGAGAGAGAGAGAGAGAGAGAGAGAGATTTGCTGCTCAAGGACTGTGTCTGGAAGGATAAGGTGTGGCAGCCGTGTTCCTGTGGCAGTAGACCTTTGGTCTGGAAAGCTTTGCCTTGGGCTGCAGTAGTGGAGGCCGGTGGGGCTCCTGGCCCCTGAGGGACGCTGACCTCAGATCTTCTCAGGGCTGTTAGTGGCATTCTCAGGCTGTTAGTGAAGGAGGGGCTGGGCTGAAGCGTGGAGACGATCCTGGCCCCTGCCCAGCCTGCGGGTATGCCAAAGGCCCTGGGGTCCATCTGGCTCCATCCCAGGGCACTGCGTAGGACGGCGCTGGGACTTCTCCTGCAAGGCTGGATAGGGCGGTCCGGATGGGGGTGGGGGCTTTCGCTGAGGCCCAGCTGTCCTGGTGGGGACAGTTGGAAGCATGCTCTGGCTGGCATGAGTGGGCATCAGCTCCTACTCGCATCCTCACTGCCCCACAGCCTTTGGGCCTCCTAGCTCCTTCTTGCCCACAGGTGGTGGCGGAGGAAGTGGAATGAATGGATAGAGCGTTTAGGTCCCACTGGGCGTCAGAGTTGGACACCTCACACTGGGCTACTTGCTCCTCAGCTGGGCCGATTGGCTCACTGGGGCCCCCAAGGGTGCAGGCTGAGGGCCTGCCCTCCTGATCTCCGTCTTTCTCTCCTAGGATCCTCCCACCACTGGAAGGCCCCCCTGTGCAGGCGTCCCCTAACGACCCTGCACTTGGCGATGGGTCCCAGCCCTCTTGGCCCGGGGGCAGCCGCTATGACCTGGATGAGATTGACGCCTACTGGCTGGAGCTCATCAACTCAGAGCTCAAGGAGATGGGTAGGTGCCCTGTCGCTCTGGGAGTGGGACTGGGACTGGGATGGTGGGTTTTCTTCGTAGCCCCAGAAAGGCAGTCACCAAGGCCGGGTGAAAGTCCCTGCTGCGTTACTGCCCGGGAAGTTACCGTCTCTGCACCGTGGTCTCTGCAGCTGTCTGGTGGGGGCAATGATAACATGTGATCCTCTTAAAAATTCTTGGGAATATTGTAAAAGGCATGGGTGTCACAGGAGGAGTAAGTGAGCACACAAATAGGGCTGGCATCAGGGGTAAGGACATCCTGGCTGACACGTTCTAGGAAGGCCCAGCTCTGCCGCATTCAGCCGCCTTCAGCGTGTGCCCCGGCACACAGCAGGAACCATGGGTCCCCAAGGAGTGGGCTGCGTCTCGGGGACCCTTCGTGTCACCTGCATGTACGCACGCATGGTCACAGCGTGCCGTCTACAGTGAGGGCATCACAGTGCGCAGAGGCCTTGGAGACTAAGTAGTTCTGCCCATGGGTCTGCTGGATTCCTACAGCCCCAGGCTCTGCAACTTCTTCCCAGCTCAGAGGATGCTGGGTCCTAACGCCATCCCCGCTCTCCTCCCCAGAGAAGCCCGGGCTGGACGAACTGACGCTAGAGCGTGTGCTGGAGGAGCTGGAGACTCTGTGCCACCAGAACATGGCACGGGCCATCGAGACGCAGGAGGGGCTTGGCATCGAGTATGACGAGGACGTTGTCTGTGACGTGTGCCGCTCCCCTGAGGGTGAGGACGGCAACGAGATGGTCTTCTGCGACAAGTGCAACGTCTGTGTGCACCAGGTGGGCGCCCCATTCCCCCACCCACACGTGACTGCGGGGCCAGCTGTCCTGGTGGTGATGTGGGTGCCACCGGAGACCCCGGCCCAGTGCCGCTAGCCAGGCTTCAGCACGTGCCTGTTGGGTGGTGACTGAGAGCGAAGCCCCAAGCCAGGCTGCCTGGTTTCAAAGCCTGGTTCTGGATTTGACGAGCTCTGTGACTTGGAGCCCATTTCTTATCCTCTCTAGGCCTCTGTTCCTCTGTTCCTTCAAATAAAAGAGAGTTGTTGTGGTTGAAGCACGAGCCCCTGGGTTAGACGCCTAGCGCTACAAAAACAAAACAAAACAATGCTTACTAGGAGATGGAATTGTTGACTATATGTTTATTGCTTAGTGCAGTGTAGCCAAGACTCTAGGTACCTGCTACCCTTCCTGGCACTATAATTGGGTAGAGCCAGGGCAGACTGCCCCTCTCCATCTTGGGCCCTGAGGCTGTAGGTCTTGGGTTTCCAGAAGTCATGACTGGGACCCAGAGGACCCACTCTGGTCCTGACTGTGAAGTCACTCACACCACTGAGGCTGGGCCAGCCACTGGGGAGCTCAGGCAGGGGCTGCAGGTGGGCTGGCGGGGCATCCCTCACCCATGCACGGCCTTGGGTCCCCATGTGTGTCCTAAGGGTGAGGCATTCCAGAAGGAACCCTGCCCCATTCCTGAATAAGAGGAATAGCAGCTCTCAGCATCAGTCCTAGGAAGTACACAACTGGCTCCGTGTTCTGCTTGAGACACGGGATGCTTTGGGGGTCCGCCCCGAAGCCCATGCTAGGTAAGGAACCTGGCTAAAGCGAGTCTCCTCTAACGGGGCAGCTGCGTGCCTTTCACAGAGGACAGAGTGGTGGGATTTGGGGCACGCTGCAGGCCGAGAGGTTTCCCGGGAGCCCTTGGCATCAGTGTCCACCTCTGAGGTCTCCTTGCTGGCCTAGAGGCTGTACAGCAGTGCTAGCCACCCCCAGATTGGGCAGTGCCTCTGAGCTGTGGCCATCCGCTCTGTCCACAGGCATGCTACGGGATCCTTAAGGTGCCCACGGGCAGCTGGCTGTGCCGGACATGCGCCCTGGGAGTCCAGCCAAAGTGCCTGCTCTGCCCCAAGCGAGGAGGAGCCTTGAAGCCCACCAGAAGCGGGACGAAGTGGGTGCATGTCAGCTGTGCCCTCTGGATCCCTGAGGTGGGTAGCCGTGGGGGTAGCCGTGGGGCTGTGGTGGCCCGGGGGCAGCACCTGGGAGGCGGGGCTGCATGGAGCTTGGGTGCCAAGCACTGGGAGAGAAAGGGCTGGGCCGTGTGACAATGCAGCGATCTCAGGCCTGGGAGGGACCAACACAGCAGCCCCCGGGGGACTTTACCTGCAGTTCTGGACATGGCCCAGCCCTGGTGGGCCGGCGAGGTGATGGGCTGCAGGACGGTTCCAAAGGTGGGCCTGGGCAGTGGACAGAGCTGGGCAGCTGCCTTGAGGGGAAACGGTGTAGGGCCCTGCTCACCCTGCACAGTGGCTCCCTCCAGTCAGGCACAGACCAGGGCCGGGGATATAGCTCAGCAGCACAGTGCTTGCCTGACAGGTGCAAGGTCCTGAGTTCGATTCCTGGTACCAAAAACAAAAACAAACACAGACCACCAGACCAGAAAGAAAACGAGGCTCTAAGCCCGATTCCAAGTCGGCCAGTGGAACTGCTGCTGTGGCTGTGGGAAGCTGGTGGCGCAGGCTGTGACCAAGGCCGGCAGAGAAGGTCTTGAGCAACTGACTGCATCCCAGGTTCAGCAGAGCCTGTGAGCTCTCAGGAGGTGGCACTGTCTTCAGAATGTGAAATGCTGGCATTGCCTGGACTGTGTGCCCTGCAGGCTGAGGCCCCACTGCAATGCTGATTGTGCCCGGAAACAATGCAGGCGGCCCTGTCAGCGGCCGGCCCTTCCCTTCCTGCCTCGGCCCGCAGTGCCGGCTTCGGTGATGGCTGCTGTCAGTGACTGCGGTGGTCACTGACTCCAGACCCCATCTGGAAGGCTTCGACCCCTCTCAGAGTCTGCTGGGCTGGGCACGGCAGAGAGAACCACCAGGGCTCCACCATGGAGCCCTTTGGAGCGGGGCCCTCTCTCCACATTCAGGCATGGGCAGCGAGGGGTCCCCTGTGCTCGGCCTCCCAGAGCCCGACAGACCCAGGGACAGACTGTTGCCATAAGACGGATCAAGCAAAAGTACCTCTAAGCCAAGAGTGACTTGATCCTCAAGCGGAGCTGTCATGAGGCCTATTTTTGGTCCCAGAAAAAGGCCTGAGGTGCAGAAGTGGGGACCTTGCGTGCACCCGTGCTGCCTCCCCCTCTCCACACACACACACAGGCGTGCGTACCTCTCTCTTGAAGCCTATAGTCACATACTCACCTGGTCAACCACACTTGGTGCGTTGTCACATTCATAACCTAGGATTGATCATGGGTGAGACACTGACCCAGCAGTTGTCTTGTGGCAGGGAAGATGCAGACCTTGAGCTTGGGATCTGTCTCTTGGGAGTCAGGAGGGACTTGGGACCAGGGGACCAGCCACTGCTCTGTCTGCCCAGTCTTTGATTTCAGCAGAAAGCACACCCTCATCTGGGCATGTGGGAGACAGACTGGGGACTGAAACAGCTCCCTGTGTCCTACCCAGGTCAGCATCGGCTGCCCCGAGAAGATGGAGCCCATCACTAAGATCTCGAATATTCCAGCCAGCCGCTGGGCTCTGTCCTGCAGCCTGTGCAAGGAGTGTACGGGCACCTGCATCCAGGTACGTGGCCACTTCCCCCTGCTGCCCAGGAGCCTGCTGCAGAGAGAGGCGCGCCCAGGGAACCCTGGAAAATGGGTGGCTACCACGCGCCTCCACCCCCACCGTGCTGCTGTGGATAGGCTTGGAAGGGGTGGGCCTAGGGCCATCCTCAGGTCCTCCAGGGAATGCGGATAGGCGCGGGAGCCAAGGCCTTCACACCGAGCTGTGTCCCGAGCCTTTTTTAAACATTAGGATGGGGTCTTGCTAAGTTGCCCAGGCTATACTCAGACTTTGGATTTTCCTGTCTCAGCCTCCCAGAGTGCCGGTATTACAGTTGTACACCACCGCTCCTGGCTTTGACCTCACTTTCGATGGCAAACTTGGCACGTGGAAGGAACGAGACACACTTCCTCTTCAGCTAAGCCCACAGGCTGTCCTGACAGAGCCAGGGCTGGGCTGGTCCCTCTGGACCACCAGTGGTTCCCAGATGCTAGTCTGCATCAGAACCGGCCAGAGAGACACGTTGCCGGGCCTGCTCCCTGAGGGTCCTCCTTCAGGATGTCTGGGCAAAGCTGAGACTTGGCACTTCTCACAGTCGCAGGTGGTGTGGGTGCCTCTGATCTGTAGTTTGGGGGCAGGAGATATGGCTGTCGCTCTCGTCTCTGCTGGAACAGAGTTGTCAGTGCAGACACTCAGTGGGCATCCTCCCATTTATAAGATCTTCACATGGGCTGTGAAACCAGCACCGCTGGTTCCTGCATATAATGGTTGGGTGTGTTACCAGCGGCCCTATGGTCTTCGTCCAGTGCTGGGAGGGAAGGTCAGGCCTCCAACTGCTTGCATGAGGGGATATGCTACAGCTCCTCCCAGAATACAAAGGGGGACAGATACCTGGGATAACGTGCAGCGGGAGAGGAGGCAGTGACCCATTATCTGCCTGTCCTTTGATGCTTCTCACTGCAAAGTCGTTTTCCTGTGCAGAAATACTGCTTGGCCCCACTGGGGTTGCACAGCCAGCCTTGACGGTTGAGTCCTCTGGGCGTACAGTGCTGATCTCGTGACCTTTCTAGGTGCTCCCGAGCTTCGCCGCTCCACCTGCCGCGCTCCCTCCATACTGTGCAGGACATTGGAATCCCAGCCCTTTCCTCTGGAGCCTCCCCAGGATTCTGCATGAGCAGCCCCACATCCTCCTCCGTCTGCCAGGGCTGCTTTAGTGCCTGACCCTGCCCTTCTTCTCCCTCCAGTGCTCGATGCCTTCCTGTGTCACGGCATTCCACGTCACCTGCGCCTTTGACCACGGCCTGGAGATGCGGACTATATTAGCAGACAACGACGAGGTCAAGTTCAAGTCCTTCTGCCAGGAGCACAGCGACGGGGGCCCACGGAGCCAGCAGACCTCCGAGCCCGTGGAGTCCAGCCAGGCTTGCGAGGACCTGGAAAAGGTGACCCTGCGCAAACAGCGGCTGCAGCAGCTGGAAGAGGACTTCTACGAGCTGGTGGAGCCCGCCGAGGTGGCCGAGCGGCTGGACCTGGCTGAGGCGCTGGTTGACTTCATCTACCAGTACTGGAAGCTGAAGAGGAAAGCCAACGGCAATCAGCCGCTGCTGACGCCCAAGACTGATGAGGTGGACAACCTTGCCCAGCAGGAGCAGGACGTCCTCTACCGCCGCCTGAAGCTCTTCACGCACCTGCGGCAGGACCTGGAGAGGGTGAGTAGCCTTGGCAGGCCTGCCGAGGGGCCTCTCCATCCCAAGAACTCAGCAAACCAGCTGTGAGCTCTGCTTCACAGCTCTGCTTTGAGAGCAGCCACGGGGCTGGGCCTTCTAGCTCTCAGGCAGCATGGGGGTGAACAATCACTGCTTTCTTACCTAGAGCTCAGTTAGCAAGTCTGTAGTGGGAGAGCATCTTGGCAGGTGTTGGGCGGAGTAGCTGGACCCAGCTTCTCCACTCCCCTTCACCCTGCTCGTCACCCAGTGCCTGGACGCTGTCAGCCCGCCACCAGTCAGAAGTACAGGATGGGCAGGATCACATGTCCCTGGCTGCAGCCTGGGAAGAGGGCAAGGCCACTGGCATTGCAGTCACCACCTCCCGGGCAGCCCAGCCTCCTGTCACATGGGGCAGGGACATCAGATTCGAGCACTCTGGGGCCAGTGCTGCTTCCAGAATTTTCCTGAGTCTCCACCTCCAAGCTCTCCCTTTCCATCAGCTGCTTTGCTCTCGACGTCCTTCTCATGACCCGTAGGTCTGACCGCCCTGCGCTGTGCGGCAGCCCTCCAGCCTGGCCCTTGGCCCACTTGCAGAGTCACCGAGGCGACGTGAGGAAGGTCTTCCCAGCTCTGCTGAGCAGATGAAGAAAGCAAGGCTCAGACAGAGGGACAGGAAGTCTTAGGGGAACTTGTCTCCTGGAGTTGGAGCTTGCGTTGGGACCTGCATCAGAGGCAGGGCTGGGGTCAAGAGGAGCAGAGTTGGCTTCTTTTCCGTTACGTAGATTTCCAGGGCAGGCCCATCCTTCCATCGGTCCCCCAGGGCCAGTGTCAGTGATTCAGGTGGGGCCAGGGCTGGGACCACCCCCAGCGAGCTGGGCGGGCTGCAGGAAAGAGGAGTCAGTCTGTGTGGCCCGTTGCCGTTCAGGAGTGCCCTGTCCCTGGGCTGCCTCCGGCAGCCACACAGCAGGCTTGTGGGCACAGCGGAAAGCAGGCTGAGGTGTGTTCAGCCTTGTGGGCTGTGGAGAGAAGTGTCAGAGACGGTAGTACCAAGCCCCCTCAAGCCACTCCGTGTGCCAGCCAAGGGCCACTCAGCCACGTGCAGGTGACCTACGTGATGGTCAGTGTGGAGGATTCCGCTGTCCGGAAGGCTTTCTGTAAAATCCCACGATCGGCAGCCCGGCCAGCAGGCCCCATCTCCAGTCGTGGCCCAGGGCCAACAGCCGAGAGTATCCAGCCTGGGCCTGGGCAGCAGGCCAGCTGGGCCTGGATCCATCTGGAGATGCAGGGTCTGGCCCAGACCAGGGCTTTGGGTAGCCTAGGTCTGCGTCCAGTTCTAGCACCAACCAGCTCTGTGCCTTCTTCGTTTCCGTCTCCACTTCAAGTTTCATTTTCCTAGTCTATAAAATGGGGAGAAGAATCAAACTGTCAGCCAGGCAGGGCGGTGCAGGCCTGTAATCCCAGCACTCCGGAGGCTGAGGCAGGAGAATTGCCTCAAGTTGGAGGCCAGCCTAAACTACATAGTGAGACCCTGTCTCAAAAAAAAAAGAATCAAACTGTCCCTGGGCGTCACAGTGAGGACAGGGGCACAGAAGTTAACCCAGTGGCCTCCGTTGTTGGCCTTGACTGTTGTCACTGCTCACCCCATAGAAGGGGAGCCCAGCCTTGTGCTCCCCAGAGGACTGGCACTTAGGCCTGCGGGTCAGAGCATGCTCCTTGACTGATTTGCCCCTGCCGGGGTCTGCAGGAGTGGGGGCTGCCACCAGCATGGAATCCCATTTTATGGTCAGCCTAGAAAATGTGCTTTCTTATTTCTGGTGCTGGGGATTGAACCCAAGGCTTTGCACATGCTAGGCAAGCGCTCTGCCAAGGATGTATTTTCCTGAAAATTTCAGCCCTTTCTCTGGCAAGCAGCTGTGGGAGCGCAGGGCCATTGTAGCTTCCTGGAGTTATTCACAGCTGACAAAAGAATTACAGCACCGAACATCAGCCTTGCAAACGCCAGCCAGTGTCCCCTAACAGCCTCGCTGGTGGCCAAGTCCTGGGGGCGCTGGCTGGCTGGCTGGGGCTGTGGATCCTGCTCCTGATTCTTTCCACAGCTGACGAGAGACAGGGACCAGGACAGGGCCGAGAGGGAGGGAGCTCCTAGACACACCCTGCCCTAAGGACGGACGTGTGGGAGCTCCGCAGGCCTTGCTTCCTCTGCTTGTCCCAGACAGGAAGGCTTAGCCAGAAGTACATCCTGCCCTTTTCTGACAGCTGCCTCCTGGTCACTCGGTCACTGTGCTTATTCTGTGCTCAGTGCCTAGATCAGCGGTGGTGAAACTGCGGCATGTGTGCCGCTGTGAGCTGTATCCTTGAGCGCTCTAACAGGTTCGCCATCGCTGGCCTAGATTGTGGTGTGCCCTGCCCCACCTCGTTCCCACTAAAGCCCACCTTGTCCTGAGCCCTCCCTCCCCACCCAGACCTCTTCCCCTCCAGTGTTCTCAGCTCAGCAACCCAGAACACACCCCATCTCCTGCCACCACAGCCTCATTCGGCTGCCTGATTTTCAGCAGAGACTCCCGAAGCTGTTGCATCCAAGGGCCATTAGACCCCACGTACCCCAGGAGAGACCTGCGCAGTAGGCGAATGAGTCTGAGCGACTGCCGGCTGGCACTGGGCTTCCTAGAGCCTGCCCACATCGCCTGGAGCTCTGCCACCTTTCAGGAAGCAGCCTCATCTCCTGTTCCTCTGACCAGAGAGCCCCAGATGCTGGCCAGCAGTGCCCCTTCCTGCACGCATCCCCTCACCTCCCAGCCCTTGTGGCCCACCCTGCATCTCCTTTGCAAGGCATGTTCCTCCAATACCAGAATCATTTACACCCTGTCCTGTCTTCTTAAGCAAATCCTCCCTCCACCTCCCTCTGGCATGGGATCCTCTCCTGCTGTCCCCAGCTCTCCTTTCCCCTTGATCCCTGCTGTGTCTCAATTCCATGCTTCCCCGCCCCTCCCCCAACGCTCTGGCAGTCATCAGCTTGCCCGTGGCCTTAGAATCCTTTTCCTGAGGATTAGGTCTGCCCCAGTGTCCTGCATCCCTTGCTTTGTTGACAGCTGCGTCTGGGCCCCAGAAATTGTTTTCCCTTCTCAGGACTGGAGATAGCAGGTTCCACCCTCTTGTTTGTTTTTGCAGTGCTGGGCATGGAACCCAGGGTCTCACATATGCTTGGCAAGTCACTTCTCCTGAGTTGCACTCCAGCCCTGGACTCCAGAATCTCACACACCCATTCCACAGCCTTCCCTGAGTCGCATCTCTGTCCTGAGCTCTAGAGCTGAATCACCCTCTAAGGACCTCCAGACATCTCCTGCCAACCTGCTTGCTCCTTGGCCCCACGTCTAGGCCTTCTTCAGAACTTGCTGATAGCAAAACACCTTCAATAAAACATTTTTTAAAAGTAGCTGTGTTACTAAGACTCTCAGGAGAAACATAAAAAGTTGTAGAAGTGGAGATCAGAGATGGAGGGGGTCACAGTGTAACCAAAGTACCAACCAAAGAACGTTGGGAATCTCACAGCAGCAAGCATTCCTGTCCTCGTAGTCAGAAGCTCCAGACATTCCTGGTGGCATGGTGTAACCTTCCCAGTAAAAAAAGATTGAACAGATACCTCTGATAATGTATTTTTATTGTCTCTCATAACTACCACTGCCTATTATAAAACAATCAGAATTCCTAATGGCGCCTAGGAAAAACCACCAGCAGCAGTTCTAATGTGTGTCGTCCGTCGTTGTCTCTCCCCCCCCCCCCCCCCCCGCATTGAAGTGCTCTGACCTATGTCCTGTAGGTCTCACTTTGGAGGCCTGGCTTGGGGCAGGAGTTTCCAGATTCCATAGTGTGTACTTAAAACCCCACCCCCCAGAGAGCAGGATGTCTGTCCCCTAGGCCTTTTGTGAACTGACCCTGTTGCCCTGTCAGGCCCCATTCTGAGGTTCCTGTAGAGCGCGTGTGGAGGAACCCCCTTCCCAGAGCCAGTCCACGTGGTGCTGGGAGAGGGAAGTCATCTGATGGGCATTGCCGAAGATTAGGCAAGAGCGGAGGGGTCTGACTGGCTTCTCTCTCTCTGGGAGAGGTGATAGACTGGCCTGGGACGTGCAGGGAGCTGGAAAGGAGTCCCCTTGTCCAAGACACCTTGCTGTCTGTCCGCAGGTCTGTGTCAGGACAGCCTGGTTGTGAGATGACTCTGTCAGCATCTCTACCCTGCTGGGTGGCCAGTTCTGGGGAGAAAGAGACCCCGATGGTGTTGCTCGGGGCAAGGCCAGGGCCTCACAGTGAGAGTGCGCGGGCCACCACAGGCCAGGCGCCTAAGGAGGAGCCCAGAGCAAAGGTCACCGCCTGGAGCTGTCTCCAGGGGCCAGGTGGAAACACAGGGTGATAGGTTGCCTCAGGCCTGGTGTTCACAGTGCAGGCGGGGGTGCACACCGCCCAGGGAATGCTCAGGGAGGCCTCGAAGAACTCACGGGACTGGGAGAACTGGGAGAACTGGGGTGGCTGCCCCAGAGCAAAGTGGGAAACCTCTTGTGTTTCCTCAGGTTAGAAACCTGTGCTACATGGTGACCCGGCGCGAGAGAACGAAGCATGCCATCTGCAAGCTCCAGGAGCAGATATTCCACCTGCAGATGAAGCTTATTGAACAGGATCTCTGTCGAGGTACGCACCTGCCCTGCTGCCTCTAGCCACCTCTGTGTGCAGGGCCGGGCCCAAGGGGGATGTTGGGGCCCAGTGAGGTAGGTGTGTGGAACGTGTTGGGCCCTGTCCCCCTCTCCACCACTTCCTGGGCCGGGATGGAGGCCTGCCGTGGCCCCATCGTGTTGGGAAGCAGGGAGCCAGAGTTGGGAATGGGGCACCAGACCTGCCCTCAGAGGCCCTTTCAGGTTCACTGCTGCTCAGGGGCAGACGGCAGGCGAACGGGCGCAGACCCAAAGCGCAAGTAGCTCCATGCTGGGGCCGAGGTAGGAAAGCGCCTGCTCCAGGGACAGCACAGCTCCTGTGTTTTCTCCCTGACTGCGATGGGATTCAGTCCCTGCATCGGCAGTGCTTTTTCTGTTACCTTCTTACTCCTTTCGCAATGCATGTAAGAGACCAAGACATGAAGGGCTGTGGAAGCTTTTGGTACTTGAGCGGGGTCAGTCAAGAAGGGTGCCAGACCCAGACGTGATCGCAAGGAGGATGCTTAACCCAAAAAGCGGTGCCCTGGTGTCGAGTTTCCGTGCAGTTTCTCTTTCTCCATGTCGGGAGAGATCCTGAACCCGAGGTCCAGGCTATGCCTGGAGCAGAAGAGGGAGGAAAGCAGCAGTGCCACCGCCGAAGCCAGCGACAGAGGCCCCGGTGCCATCCCTTCCTCCCAGTGGCCAGGCTGCCCCATTGCTCTTCAGGCTGTCCGCCCATCCTGGCTTGGGAAACGGGCTTTCCCGAATCGGGGTGCGGGGTCAGAGCAAGTCACGGCCGCTCGCAGTCACTGTGTGCCCGAAGACTAGGGCCGCTGCTCCGATGCTGGAGCTTTTGAGGCTCCTGTGTGCTGTTTATTCGTTCAGTGGGTGTTGGCCCAGCGCAGGTCGGGCTCCTGCCCTCATGGAGCTTGCACTCTGGAGAAGGGAAAGCGCGGTCTCGGGGCCAGTGCAGGGACAGAGGCTGAAGGTGATGCTGGAGCAGTGTCTCAGACTCCCTGACACTGGGCTGTGGCCACTCATCTGGCTACAGAAGCAGCCCGCACGAGGCACCCACAGTCAGACCGCGGGGTGGCAAGGCAGGAGCAGTGACCTTGGGCGTAGGGTCCCAGAATCGTAAGGTTTTGCGGCCCGTTGCCTCTCGTGGCAACAACCAGCAGCAGTTTGGTGAGAGCAGGCACTGGCTGAGAAACTGCTTCGCTCCCGCCGGAAGCAGATGCCCGCACTCCGGGGATGCCAGACCCCAGCGTGGGATGCCTGCCCCGTCTGGAAGCTAGGAAGGCCGCTCAGGGGAAGTAGTGTCGGGCCTTGATTTGAACCAGGTGAAGGATAAGACGGGCACAGCCCTGGACCTAGGGGCCAGAGCACAACTTGGTAACGAAACTGGAAAGGCCCTGGCGTGGGTACGACGGGGGCCAGAAGACGCCTCGAGTGAGGGGCAGGAGAGGGAAGGAGTCCGGACTCCGAGGCAGGAGGCCCAGCTCCCAAGTGTCGGGTTGGGCCCTCCGTTACAGCGCGGGAGACCGAGGCCCAGCCTGCCGTTTCCCCGCCAGCTAACAGCACATCTGGGGCCACGCGTCTCAGCCTTCTCTTAACCTTGTCTGGAAAGCCCTCCTGTCTCTGCCTCCTCCCTCTGCCTGAGAAACTGGGGGTGCTCGGGGCTGCTGCGCCTTCCCCTCCACCCTTCCCCTGCCCCCCAGACTTGCAGTTGACCCTGGACAGGAAGGATCATTGGATCAGGTGTGCACCTGCTGCCTGACCTCAAAAGCAGACTGGGAAGCCAAGGCAGGAGGCCTCCTCAAGGGGCGTGGACTGTGGTGTCCAGACTGGAGCCGAGCCTTCGCCCCGGGGCGGGTGTTCTTTCCGCCCTTAGTCCAGCTCCTTAGCGTCACGCTCAAGACCCGCCAGGTCCAGCGTTGCCTCTTCAGGCTTCTCCCGAGGCCTGTGGGTTGTGTAGGTCAGAATGGAGACCGGGTCTCCTCGTGGCTCTGTGCCCACCCTGTCACCCTCCACCCCGCTCCGGCTGCGCCCTGACGGACCGAGGTCCCGGGCTCCAGCTCTGACCTTGCTGCCGCGGAGGGTGCGCCCTGGCCCTTGGAGGACTCTCGGCCGCCCCTTGACCTGACTCAGGCCCCTGCAAGTCACCACCTCCCTCCTCTTGCATTCCCCGATGCAGAGCAAGCTGGGAAGAGAGCAAAGGGCAAGAAGAGCGACTCCAAGAGGAAAGGCCGCGAGGCGCCCAAGGGCAGCAGCCCGGAGAAGAAGGAGAAAGTGAAGGCCGGGCCGGACTCTGTCCTGGGGCAGCTGGGTGAGCTCACGCCATCGCCTCACTCCCAGCCCCACCCGTGGAGGGCCAGCTGCAGAGACTGGGGAACTGAGGCCCAGAGGGTCACCAGGCCCTTCCTTGCCCGGTGCCTGCCATGCTCCCATGTGCCACCCGCAAAGGAGACAGATCAGAGCCACGCCCAGCTCCCTGAGAAGCTCCCCTCCACAGACCGGATGGAGGCCGGGTCCTTTGCCCTAGGTTTTCCCAGAGGTCCCTGGGCCAGTCCCACGCTTGGAGGGGAGGAGTGGCGGAAACCCTCATCCTGTCCACCCTGCACACTCTCCCCAGTGGGTTCTTCCTCCAGCACAGAGATCCAGAGGAGTGACAGCAGGTCCCTCACGGTCACAGACCTCCTTCCTGTCCCATTAGGCAGAGCAGCCCCTGGGGAGCCTCCAGCTTTGCACTGGACTCCCAGAATGTTATACACTTCCTCCAGAGCAGAGTGGGAGCAGAGTGTAATCCCCTTCCTGGCCTCACTAACAGCACGGAAGCCTCAGGTCATCTTTGATGTCCTTCAGTGTCAAGAAGGGAACAACCTGAACGTCTAAAAGTAGGCCCTGAGCCAGGTGTGGTGCACACCTGGAATCCTAGCACTTTGGAGGCTGAGGCAGGAGTATCACCTCAAGTTAGGAGCCAGCCTGGGCTACATAACAAGACCCTGTCTCAAAAAACCCTAAAGTAAATAAAGGCACTGCCTCACCAACTGCTCTCTCCCAAGACCTCAGAAAGGGAGGGAGGACCCATAGCTGGGCCTGGGGGCCACCAGAGACCCACCCAGATACATCTCGCTACCCTGTTCATGTCCAACCCTTCCTCTTTCCCAGTGCTTTGCCTCCAACTCTGAGAGGAACCTCTCATGAAGATCCACTGCCCCCTGGTGGCCAGAAAGTGTTTCCCGTCTTCCCTTTAAACTTGCTTTTGCCGGGCATGGTGGCACATGCCTGTAATCCCAGTATTCGGGAGGCTGAGACAGGGGGATCATTGTGAGTTCGAGACCAGCCTGGGCTACAAAGTGAGCTGAAGGCCAGCCTGAACTGCATAGAGAGACCCTGTCTCAAAAAGACAAAAAAAAAAGTTTGCTTTTATGCTGAGATCCTGCCACCTTCAAATTCTTAGTAATCCTTGAAGGAGGAGCTCTGTATTTAATTTGTCCTCCGCTCCACAAATTGCCCTGGCAGCCCGGGGTGGGACGTGCTTCTGGGGAGGGAGGTGTTGTCGCCCTGTTCTTAGCCCTGCAGTGTTGGGAAGGGGGCGGGGGGGGGGGTGGGCAAAGCAAGATGGCTTGTGTGAGTGTGGCATGCCGGAGCGTGGGAAGAGGGTGCAAAGGGCCCCCGAAAGGGCTGGACGCCCTGCCCGCGTCTCACTGCCTCCTCTCTCTCCCCGCTCAGGCCTGTCCACCTCGTTCCCCATCGACGGCACCTTCTTCAACAGCTGGCTGGCGCAGTCGGTGCAGATCACGGCAGAGGACATGGCCATGAGCGAGTGGTCCCTGAACAGCGGGCACCGCGAGGACCCTGCCCCGGGGCTGCTGTCAGAGGAGCTGCTGCAGGACGAGGAGACGCTGCTCAGCTTCATGCGGGACCCCTCGCTGCGACCCGGCGACCCTGCCAGGAAGGCCCGCGGCCGCACCCGCCTGCCTGCCAAGAAGAAACCCCCCCCACCACAGGACGGACCTGGCTCACGGACGACTCCAGAAAAGCCCCCCAAGAAGCCCTGGGGCCAGGATGCAGGCAGCGGCAGGGGGGGGCAAGGGCCCCCGGCCAGGAAGCCGCCGCGGCGGACGTCTTCTCACTTGCCGTCCAGCCCTACAGCTGGGGACTGTCCCGTACCAGCAGCCCCGGACAGCCCCCCGCCACTGGCCCCCGAGCCCCCGGACGAGGCAGCCCCAGCAGCTGCTGACTTGAATGTCCAAGTGCCTGGCCCTGTGGTGAGCCCCAAACCCTTGGGCCAGCTCCGGCCACCCCGTGAGAGCAAGGTTACCCGGCGATCTCCGGGTACCGCGCCCGACGCCGGGACAGGACCGCCTTCTGCTGTGGCCGAGAGGCCAAAGGTCAGCTTACACTTTGACACGGAGGCCGATGGCTACTTCTCTGATGGGGAGATGAGCGACTCGGATGTAGAGGCAGAGGACAGCGGGGTGCAGCGGGGTTCCCGGGAGGCGGGGGCTGAGGAGGTGGTCCGTATGGGGGTATTAGCCTCCTAACTCGCCCCTACCCCTGTCCCGGGCCCTGCCCTGGTCCCCTACAAGGCCTCAGCCCACTCACAACTGCCATTTCCAATCTCTGCTGAGTGTCCCGGACCCTTGAGGCTACCACTCTGTCGTGGTTTTATTTTTAATAGAGAGTTCTGAATTCCACACTGTTGTCTTTCCTCTGTGCTGGCCTAGGACGTTAGGATTCCTTCCACGGCTCTGGCCTCGGGGACCGTACCTGGTCCTGCGTGCCACCCGTCACGACCCACACGGCATTGCTGGGCTTCTGGCTAGATGTAGGCAAGGTGAAGAAGAGCTCAGGACTCCCGCCCGCTGCCGCTGGGTGACACGGACTGTTGTTTGGGCATTATTTCCTGGCAGACGGGCCGGCCCGGGGCCTGTCCCACCTTGTCCCCTATCACACTAGAGCCCGCTGGAGGCTGGGGGTCCTGCTGCACTCCACTGATCCCCAAGGAAGGATAACGAGTGACACCCAGCCAGAGTCTACTCACTGTCACAAGCACAACGAGTTTCTATGAGAAAGCACTGAGGGGTGCAGGGCGCCCGCTGGTTCCTGACCAACCTGCATCATCTGAGGCCTGCCCCGCCCCGTCACCTCCCCTCCCTTGCTGCTCTACCCCTGTCAGCGCTCAGCCCAGCGGCTCTGGGAAGGGGTTCCCAGAATCCTTCCTGAGCTGTGCCATTTACTCAGGGGATCCCACACAGCCAGCCACCCATGCAGGTGGAGGACTCCCAAGGGAGGGCCAGTGCCCAGCCGGGGGCCTGAGGCCCAGCCCAGCCCCTGCTGAGAATCGCTCTGGGGCTCCAACTTCCTTCCTTCCTTCCTTCCTTCCTTCCTTCCTTGGGACCAGTGTTGGCTGAAGTCTGGTCACTCCCACACAGAACTGGCCTGGCCAGACCAGACCGTTTGCCTTTTCAAGTTCCTAGTCCTGCTAAGAGATGAGCTTCCTTGGTTTCCTTCCGGAAACACCTCCCTTCCAACACGCAGTGGGATCCCGGGGCCCAGGGCGGGCCCACAGCCTGCCAGGGTGAAGTCTTGCTGGATGGTCCTGTGTCCCTTTGTCCCTTAGAGCCTTAACCCCCTCCCCCAGGCATGTCCTCTTTCCCTCCCCACCCCGCCTCCAGGTCCTAGGTAATCGCTCTGAAGAGTTTCAGTGAGGTGGCCCCAGGGTGATAGCTCAGGGAACAAACAAAAAAGGAATTCCGTGAAAACGTTGGGGGTTTTTGGTTGGTTTTTGTTTTCGTTTTTGTTTTTCTTGTACGAATTACTTCTGGGTCACTTCCACCACTGGTAAAGCCAGAACTTCTCCAGCAAGAACCTTGCAAAAAGTCCAGTGAATCAGTCGAATCATTCTGTGGATGCCAAAGAATACTTTGACCCTAATACAGCACAGCCTGGACCTGACAACTTGTCACTTGGACTTTTTTTTTAATGGAGTTCCTTAGCAACAAAGTACAGAAACACGTTCATTGCGCACACTCGCAGAGAAGAACCCCAGGTCTTGGAGGAGGAGGAGGAGGAGGCTTCGCCGCCGCCGCCGCTGCTGCTGCTGCTGTTGCTCGATTCCCAGGGCTTGGGCTCCAGGCCCTGGGCTGGGCCACTGTGAGCAATCCTGTCACTCGGACACCCGACTGTGAAACCAGCGTGGAAAGCGTCTTTCCCATGTGGCTGCCCGACCCTGTGCAAATACACCACGAACAAATAAGCCAGATGGAGCAGCTTGACCTTCACCCACCCCAACTCCAAAACTTAGCAAGGTACGACGGTGGTGTCGTCATCCACGGTTGTCGTTGGTTTTGTGCGAATTTTAGCAAAACTAGAAACAAGGACAGTGACAAGTTTCAAAGGACTGGACAAATGTGTCTGATCCTAGTGGACTCCAAGGGAGTCGGGTGCCCCGAGGATCCTGGGCGTGGGGATGGCATGAGCTACCACTAGACTTAGGCTGCCTGCCCGCCTCGGTAGTAGTGACAATACAGTGTCAGTGTCAGCATCCCGACCCCAGCCTCTGTTTACTGGCTTTGAACAGACCTTCCTTCCTTCCCTGTGCTTCAGATCACCTCGGGTCACAGCCTTCTCCTTCCTGGGTTGCCTGGGCCGGCCCTGCAGCCTGCTGAGGGGTGAACTGAAACAAAACTAAACCCTGCTGGGGCCGGGGCGCTGGCGGGGCTCAGGGTCCAGCTGTCTCGGCACCCACCCTTGAGCCCTCCGCTCCGCGCTGGGGCAGGGGCTGGGCTGTGAGTGGAAACGAGGGCCTAACTGGGAGCATCAGCTTGGAAGGCGGATGGGGTTGCCGGCGGTCTTCAGAAAGCCGCTGCTCAGGTCAGCCTCGATTTTGGCTCTTCTCTCCCAGCTGTTGCCTTGGACTGGGCTGTCCTTGGGCCTGTGTCCTGCAGAGCCCGGTTCTGTTAGGCTGCTTGGCCGGCAGCCCCTCCGCTCCCAGACCAGGCCCTCCTGCAGTCCTAACCAGGCAGCTGTCTCCCCTTCCAGGGCATCCACCAGGCCACAGGGAGGACAAGGCTGCCAGTCTCTCGTCCAGTCCTGCCCGGCAGCCCCCAGCCTTCCCCAGCAGCCCCTCACTCTCCCTTCCGGCCCTGTCTACAGTGTGGAGCATGTTGCCGCCCCAGACCAAGGCGGGCTCCTCTTCCAGGCCTGAGGCCTTGAGGTCTTGCTCCCAAACGCATCACACGCACGCACGCCCTCCCGGAGGCGGCAGCTGCTCCGTAACTCATCCGGCTCATGTCCCACACTCTCACCAGCCCTGGCCGCCTCCCACCTCCTTCCCTCATCACGTGACAAAGGAAAATGCAAGGAAAGTATTTTTATGTATCATAAGTATATTTTGAAACAGATAAGGAGAAGAAAGGTAGGATGCTCGTTTATTTTATTAAATGAGCTCGGACGTCGTACAGTGCATGAGCGTTTGCAGTGTTAAAGGCCTGGGCTTCCCCGGAGAAGCCGCTCGGGGCTCCAGATGCAGGTGTTGGGCTGTGGTTGTGTGTGTGTGTGCACGCGCGTGCATACATGTGGCACCTGCCTTGTGTGTCCGTGTGCGTGCACACACCCGTGTACGCGTTGCACAGGCACTGTGGGAATTGCTGGGGCAATTCTTAGAGTTGCAGCTGCCCGATTCCAACAAACTGGCAGCAGCTGGACTTGGCATCCCCTTGCTCACTGCCAGATGTGGCCAACCTCTGCCCATGCCCAAAGCTCTGCAGAACGATCTGGATCCCTGTAGCAAGGCCGTTTCCCTGTGCCCTTGGCCCGGCTAGTCACATTGGCCAAAGAGCCAGGGCTGAAGCCCGGGACCTTTCTCTGGCTGTTCTTTAAGGCCCCTCCCGCTGCCCTCGCCCTCAGATGCACAAACCTTTTGTGCTCCGAATCACGTGGGGGGAGGTGGCGGGGGGGATGATATGAATGTCACAGGAGGAGACACCTTCTGTCTTTGTTTCAAAGAAAGTGATGTGCCATTTGTTAATATACAAGAGAAATATTGAAAATATATTGAAAAGAGCAATTTTAAATTATTTTTGGCTTATGTTGCAATATTTATTTTCTTGTATTAGAGAAGATTCCTTTGTAGAGAAAAATGTATTTTTCATTACCGCAAAGACCTATTTCTCCTTTTTGTACATTGTCCATGTTCACGACCCTTAACGAGCAATAGAATGTATGGTCGCCTCGGTGTGGCCAGCGCCCGCTGTGCCCTGCATGATTCTGTGTTGCCGCTGCTGCATAGCTCCCAGCCCCATCCTGTCCTGCTCACTCACAGGGGCTTCCAGACCCTGGGCCCTGCCGGGGCCTGTGTCCTAAGGAGCCCTCCACACTCCTCATGTGTTGGCAAACGCAGTTAATAAAGCAATGTTTTCTGTGTGGCTGGTGTGGGGCTCTGTTACGTGGGGAGGGGAGGGGCCCTGGGGATCCCTGCACACGCTCCACAGTGGTCCCTGCGAGAGTTCTCTGAGTCCCAAAGGACCTGCTGCACCCTCCCAAGGGACTGTGACTGTGTTGGGCATAGAGGGCATTCAGCATGTACCGGGGCCATGCATTAAGGGCGGGGCAGTGTTTCATTGGATCTTCACAGTGTTACCCCTGGGATTCAGGAAGTCATCCCTCCAGGGAGAGGCAAAGTCCTCAATCCAAGGCTGCCCTCCTTCACCTCCAGCCACTTGTCGGGTGTGGAAAAGTGGGAGAGGAGCCTCTGGCCTCCGTCTCTAGGTCACAGGATTTTTACCTGGATTGGCTTCTCATCCATTAACAACTGAGCACCTATTCCATGCCAGGATCTGGAAAGAGTGGGGAGTGGAGCATCTGTCCCTGCTCTGGGTCAGCTCACAACCCAGTAAAAACACCACTCGAAGCGACACCGTCTTCCTGTACACATCCCTCCCGCTCCCGCCTCGCTGCCAGTGTGCCGCTGGACTGCTCTGCCCACAGACCTCCGGGCAAAGAGACCTCACGAGTCGACAGCTGTCAACCTGAGGGGACTGCAGAAGAGGAAAGGCTGGTGTCCCTGGCAGAGGCTCAGTCATTTGCAGAAAGGGGCCCAGGGGGAGGGTGTGTGGAAGAAGTTGATTTGATGTACGAGTGACTTTCCCATCACTGGGCAAAATAACCAGACATAATTAAAGGAGAAAAGGTTTATTTTAGCTTATGGTTTCAGAAGTTGCAGTCCATGGTAGGCTGGATCCAAGGAAAAATGACAGGGTGGAGGAAAGATGCTCAACCCATGGGGTCAGGAAGGTGAGTGAGCAGGAACAGCCAGTGAGAAGTCTGCCCTCTAAAGACGCACCCCCCCCCCCGGGACCCACTCACCATAGCACATTCAGCTGTGGAGAAATCATGACTCATCTGTCGGGGAGCAGGCCCCCGTGAGCCACTCACCCTCTGAAAGCCAGAGGGTGGACATTCCATCCAAACCCTAACACTAGGACCCCATGGATCTAGCTAGGATGATGCCTGGACCCCACTCCAACACCTGCACCTCCAAGCCTGGCCCCGCTGATACGCGTGGGTAGGAGGGCCGGGGCACCTGCAGGAGGAGGCAGCACTGGGCAAGAGATAAATTAGTGTGAGTCTCATGCGGCCAGCATCCACACTTTAGGAAAGTAGGAAAGCCAGTAAAAGGACTTTTAAGAATAGATTTATTTAACCCATTATATCTGAAGTATGATCATTTCAAACATTGGATCATCAATACAAAATGACTTCGTGTGTGCGCTGGGGTTGGAGCCTCAGGCTCACATGCTAGGCAGGCACACTCCTGCTGAGCTACGTTTCCAGCCCTCATGCTGACTGCAGGAGTCTCACCGTGTAGCTCAGGCTGGCCTCAGACTTGCAATCCTCTGCCTCATCTTCTCAAGTGTGGAGTTCCCGGTATGTCCCACCATGCCCGGTTTAAAATAAGTTTGCCAGGCGTGGCAGGGCACATTTGCAATCCTAGGACTCAGGAGGCAGAGGTAGGAGGATTGACACGAGTTGGAAGCCAGACTCGACTACACAGACAATCCGAGGCCATCCTGAACTGCAAAGCAAGACCCTGTCTCAAAAACAAAGAAACAAAGAACACAAAATAATTTTTTATTCAGGACTAGGGATCGAACACTGAACTACATGCCCAACCCTTTATTCTTTATTTTGAGTCGATGTCTCACCAGTCACTAAATTGTCCAGACTGTACAACTCCTTCCTCAGCCGCCCAAGTGCTTGGCTTACGGGTGGGTGCTACCAGGCGCGGCTTTTAGATAACTCCAGATGAGATATTTGACAGTCTTTCTTTCTGCTAAGTCTTTGCAATCCAGCGTGTATTTTGCACCTACGGTACCTCCCAGTTTGGATCAGCCCCATTCCAGCTGTTCAAGGTCACACACATGTGGCCAGACATTACAAAGGCCAGGGTTGCCTGGGATCCACCCACGCGCCCACAGAGCGGGGCTCAGACAGCCCGAGGAGGCCCTGACCCACTTCCACAGTGGAAGTGGAGGGACAGGTCCGGGCCCAGCTTCCCACCTGTGGTGGTTGATTGATTGTGTAAATTTGAGAAGTTTAGAAGCTTAACTAAATTGACTCAGCAATTCTACACTCTAGGGTATAGAGGACCCACCCCCAGGCCCATCGCCTGGACGGTATAAAAGGGAAATGAGGAAGGACTAGCTTCTGTTCTTTAGAGGAGCTCCAGTCTTCACCCTCAGCTTGGTCGTCATCTCCTGGCTTCTAGCACAGGCTCTTTGGCTTCTGCCTTGGATCCTTCAGCCTTCCCGTGCAGACCCATTGGCCTCCTGATACGGACTTGCACGGACAGTGCAGTGAGCTCCAGACCTTGGACTAAACCTCCAGGTGCAGACACCCTCTGCATGTTTCCTCATCCGACTCTGGCTGACGCGTACCAAGCTTGTAATTTCTTATACATTTGTGTATCGTGTGCTTTATCTGTTTCTCTCGTAAACCCTGACTGAAACACCACCCAAGCTGCTGGGGGACCCCTCCCCTCCTGTGCCTTTAACTCTGCACAGCCCCATGGCGGCCGCCTGTGCGGTCTCTGCCCCCCGAGAGCCCCCTCAGTGGGCCAGGTCTGTCCCACGAGAGACTCACAGCGGATGGCACGGGGACATGAGCAGGGGGAGTCTGTGGGAGCAGGTGTCACGCATTGCCTTCCCTTCAGGCAGGCGTTGACCGAGCCCTGTGGCAGAGCCCTGAGGACACGGTGGTGACGCCGGGCCCCTTCCAGAGATCAGGCCAATGTGGGTTCACCCAGACAACCCGAGATCGGAGGGGATGGTTGCACACTGAGCTCCTAGAGCACCAACCTGGGGATGGGTGGGCACTGCCCTTTGCGCTCCCTGATTTCCCTGTTCATGCTCCACTCCTGCAAGGCAGGGTGCGTGGCGCCACCTGCCGCCGGCCAAGCCCCTCTGACGCCGTTAGCGTGTGTCGCAAGGGCTGACCCGCATCCCTGCGCAGAGCTGCGGCCTCCTCTCTCCTCTGCCAGGGAGGTGGGTAGTGGCGCCCCTGTGGCCTTCAGGAGCAGGCAGGCAGCGAAGGAGAACAAGGCAGTGGCGAGGCCCGTGGGTGCCCATCCCTCGGTGGGCAGGTGGACGAGGGAGCGCTGGGCTCTCCCGGGCTGGCCCGTCTGTACCCACAGTGGCCAGGGAGGGCGCCAGGGGCGCCCCTTCTTGGAGACGACGGTTGCAGGACTCACGCTGAGCAACGTAGGTGTTCGAAGGGGCTCACAGCCATCCCCTCTTCCCAAACTCTGGCTTAGCCTCCTGTCACCAGGCTTTGGGGGTCACCGCAAGGGCCACCTCCTCGCACTGTGGGCCCGGTGCGCCCGACCCAGAGGACAGACCTGGGCAGAGGGATTCGAGGCGGTGTGCTCGTCATTTGAGAGAGGATCACACAGCTTAACAAACACAGGACACATACATTAGAATCTCAGATAAATAGTGCATAATTCTTTTCGTGTGTGTTTGTGGTCCTGGGAATAGAACCCAGAAATGGTTTACCCTTGAGCCGCTCTCTCAGCCCCGACTCGTTCTTTAGTGTAAGTGCGATCCGAACACTAGCCAGGCGTGGCGGTGCACGCTTGTCACCCCAGCACTTGGGAGGCTGAGGCAGCTTCGTAAGCTGGAGCAGACCCAAACCTGTTCCAACACCTGACATGTGTCACAGCAGTGAGGCCCAGGACACGTGACTGCGTGTCTACGTCACTGTCTAGGACAGCTGTCCCTGTCTGCCCTACGCCAAGCCTCCGGTATTTCACACTCCACCTCAAGACTGAACTGAAGCTCTGGAGCACCCAGGAAGGGAGCTGCTCCCCCAAACCCAGTTACAGTATTTGGTGTCACAACCACTCAACACACAGCCAAGAGTTTGTCTTAGTCACTTTCTTGTTGCTGAGTCACAGGACCTGACCCCCACAAGTCTAACGAAGAGAAGTGTATTTTCGCTCACCGTTTGAGTGGTTTCGGTCTACGGTCGTGGAGCTCCGAGGTGGGGCAGCATGGCAGAGGGGCCTGCGAGAGAACAGCTCGTGGCGTGGCAGCAGGACGCGGAGAAATATCAAGGCAGGAGGAGGGAGGTCGATCCTTCCAGGCCACGCCCCCAGTGACCCAGCTGGTTTTGGTTTTTTGAGACAGGGTCAGTCACACTTGGTAGCCCAGGCTGCCCTGGAACTGGAGGGCATCTTCCCGCCTCAGCTCCTGAGTGCCGAGATTACAGACGTGTGCCGCTGTGTCGCAGTAGCCTCCCCTTGCAATCATTAATCATGGGTGTCAATTTGGCTGGATTAAGAAATGTCTAGCAGATGAGTGAAGTGTCCAGCGATGACTGCATGTGGACCAGCAAACTTAGGGACGCCGTCTCTGACTGTGGGTGGCACCACGCTCCGGCTCTCCAGTGGGCTGATGGCTGCTGTGGGTTGCCCTGCCTCTCCTGAAAGCTGCCTAGCAAATCCCCCCGCACAGTTCCGTATATTTACATATTGCCTTCCACGGATTCTGTTCACGGGGCGAACCACAGCTAACACACC